TTTTTTTTTTTTTTATTGACATTGGAATTGCCAATGTGAACGGTTTCGGATATCTATTTTATTTTGATGGAAATAAATGTTCCGGCGTTAAATAAAAAAAGGAATTTTTTTAAAAAGTTCGCAAGGACGAAGAAATTTGAACTTTTTGTCTTCGTTTCTTTAACAGGATCTTTTCAACGGAAAGGACCTTAACAAATCGATAAACGCGGACGAAGCCGTGGCGTACGGGGCGGCCGTGCAGGCAGCCATATTGCAGGGCGACAAGTCCGAGACCGTACAGGATCTACTATTGCTGGACGTGACTCCGCTGTCCCTGGGGATAGAGACCGCCGGAGGCGTGATGACCGCCCTCATCAAACGCAACACCACGATCCCGACCAAGCAGACGCAAACTTTCACTACCTATTCGGACAATCAGCCGAGCGTTCTGATCCAGGTTTACGAGGGGGAGAGAGCGATGACCAAGGACAACAACCTTCTGGGAAAATTCGAGCTTTCTGGGATTCCGCCGGCGCATCGAGGCATACCGCAGATCGAAGTGAGTGAAATCTTTTCATCTCCGATGAATTATTGAATCTTTCCTCTCGGGCGATTGAACACATGAATCAGTGATCATCTGGGTATCAAATATTAGAGATATTAGGGTAGGGTCAATTCGATAGACAAGATCGACGATAAACGTTTCGTAGAGTCAAGGCCGGAGATAAGAGAACAATCCCAGAGAGAATCAGAGTCGATGGTTGGAGAGACGCAGCAATTGCGTCGATAAAGTGAATCCTTGGCAAGGACATAGACGAGTCCGATCCAGAGGTCGAGGGTTAAGGTTGCGACTGGACAGGGTTGAAAGATCCTTTCCAGACGATCCCGCGTCTCGAGATTTCTTTTCTGCCTGTTGCCACCAGCGTACGCGAGTCGGACGGCACTCTATTGGAATTGTCAGGTTGTCCGGATAAGTATCGGGACGGAAAGCAAACGCGGAAGCGGAACGGCCCGAAGCGAACGGAGATGGAGTCTGGACCGCGCGCAACAAAACGACGGCGAAAGTGCCGTTTTTCTTTCTTTTCCATTTTAGTCTCCTTTTATTCGCTCGCTCTTCAGGTGACCTTCGACGTCGACGCGAATGGTATCTTGAACGTGTCCGCCGTGGAGAAGTCGACGCACAAGGAGAACAAGATAACGATAACCAACGACAAGGGACGGCTCACCAAGGAGGACATAGAACGAATGGTGAACGAAGCGGAAAGATACCACGCGGAGGACGAGTCGCAGAAGGAGAAGATCACTGCGAAGAACAACTTGGAGTCGTACTGCTTCAACATGAAGAATACCATCGAGGATGGAAAAGTGAAGGAGAAGATCGCGGAAGGAGACCGGAAACGTATAGCTGACAAGTGCAACGAAATTATCAAGTGGCTCGATACCAACAACTCCGCCACTAAGGAGCAGTTCGAGCATAAACTGAGAGATGCTGAAAAAGTATGACTTTTTTTATTGTATCATGTATTATACGTGTGCGAACGAAAAAGCACGCTCCTTTTTCTTTCTCCTCCTTTTGAATAATGCGTTGAAAAACGCTATCGTATCTGAATTATGAACTGCAAGAAATTGACGAACTTGTTGAAGTATTATCATCTGTTGGTTCCTAATTATCTACAAACGATATTAACTCAGTAATTTGTAGTTTTCTATCTAACCAGCTGACGGTATATTCATTTTCGTCCTTCCATTTCTTCTGCTGAAATATGATTACCGATAATCGTGATCTGTCGATAACTAACTCAGTGATTGTCATTTTTATCGAATAATTGCTCTAATTTTACTCATGAAAATTTACTTTTTTAGGTTTGCAAACCCATCATTACGAAATTTTATAGCGCCGCAGGGCAAACGGACAGTTCCTCGAACGGTCCAACGATAGAGGAAGTGGAGTGAATGTGTACCCTCGGTCGATAACACCACGTACCGCCGGTGCTTCGATCTAAAATTTTCGCGTGAATTCAAAATTTATGGTCGCCACTCTAGATTGAACAAACAATTTCATTTGTAGATTCAGGATAACTTAATATTTACAACTGGAATAGTTTGCATGGTTGTATTATAAAATAAATGGCTCACGTCAGTTTCCAACGTATTATTTATTGCAAGCGAGTTTGGGAAAGATAGTTATCGTAATGATTTCGTAATATATTCGAAATATGCGATAATATTGTCAGACTAACACAACGACCTAGCGTCGCCGATTACGTGTATGTGACGCGCGTATCAGTGTATATGCAGCGTGTAAACTGTTTCATCAAACGCATCTTCTTCCTCGCATCACGTTAAAAACTAGTGTTGTTTATGCTTGTAAAGAATATTTACACAAAAAAAGAAAAAAGGGGGGGACACTATTAAATATTCAATGAACTTAGCGTACAAGTAAGTATATCCTACGCAGTAATGGAACGTTTTTTCTCGTAAAAAATAGATTATGCAGAGCACCATGGTTTCTTCTTCGTCGTCTTCATCGTCAACGTCTTCCTTTTTTCTTCTTTTTCCTTTTTTTCATTTCCCTTTTCTCCTTCTTCTTCATCTTCTTTCTCTTCTTTTTTCTTTCTTTTTAATCTTTGAATCAACTCGATTTCTTATATACAATTTGACCGTGTCGTAGTCGCGAGCCACCACGATGAATCGCGACGCTGTAACGCACATTACAACAAAATGTGGCTAGTTTCCAGTCGGTCGGATAGATTGCAATATCATCGCCGTGTCAGCGCGATATCTTGCGAACAATCGAGAAACAAACGAGGAACAGAAACTGACTATAATGTTGTCGCAAAATTTTATGCCCTGTGCTCAGTCTTTCACGTGCGCTTTCGCTTTTTGCTCGTCCTTCTCGTTCCGCGTGAAATGATTCGATCGACTGCTGATCACTTTCTAATTTACAATCTCTTTCCAATTTGTTCGACAATATTAGGTTAATCTGCGCTGGTTTTTTTTCCCATGGAGCGGAATTCCAGTTCGAAATGTTCCGCGATACTCGTTAGAAATTAAGGCAGCAATTACAACAGTCATTGGTAGATTTAATGATCCGATAGTGTTACAGTAGTAGATGATTTCCATTCGAGCTTAATCTCGGTTTTCCCTCTACTAGCGGTCAGATAATTTGAAATATGTCAGCGTATGCTCATTTACTTCAACTTCGGAATTGGAGCAATCGCACGGCGAACCTTTCGTTGGAACGAGCAACAGGAGACAGATTCCATCTCGGGATCTTTGAGTCTGCCAGTAAATATCTCATTACCGAGCTCAAAAAACCGGAGGATCCTCTACGTCGGATTCTCCGTCGCGTCTTCTTCGTTCTCGGATTCGTCGAAACGAAGAAGGCTGGGAGCGTACGCAAGAACGGGGAGGTTAAAAGGAAGGATAAGAAAAAGAGGGGCTGCAAGGCAGGAGGAGGGGCGACGAATAGATTCTGGAGAACGACCGAGGCATAAAATTTTTCGCAAGACCACCATGGAGGCTCGAAATCATTCACTTTTGAAATCGTTCGCTTTCGAGAGTCCTTGGTACGGTCGTACAGAAACGGAAAGTAAGTAAAATCACAAGCGTCATAGAGGCTCACGAGAGTCTCTGGGGTTAGAACAAAAACATAAGAAATAGTAATCGTTGTATACGTGAGCATGTATATAGTATGTAGAATGATTGTGAATGCATGCTTTGCGCATGTTCGCGCACCTGTGTCATCGCGTAAACTTTCCTCTGTGTTTATCTCTGCGTGCGTGTGTGTGTATGTGTGTGTGTGTGTGTGTGTGTGTTGCGTTTCCTACAATGTAACATCACTTAAACGCTAGCTTGTTTTATCTTTTATAATTATATACACGTTACAACGTCGCTTGGTTTGCCTGTATTGTTCGGATATAGTTATATGTGTTTGACGAGCACGTGATTCCTTACCCTTTATATCACATACAATCGTATATAAGAAGGCACCAGAAGTAATTCTAGGTCGAGAATGTATCCGTGGTTTGGTCGCCGCTGACGTTATATATAACCAGGTAATGGAAAAGGTCCGTAAACTGTACACTGTGTTTGCTTTCAGTGGCGTTCGTCCAAGTTTTACCACGAACGGAACGTCTAGACGTGTTGTAGAGCGACCAGCTCCTCGAGCTTCTCTTTTCTTTGACATACTCTGTAACTCTATCACCGAGAAATAACGTATAATTGCAATATATTAA